TTAAATGATATACATACGGTGAATGTCGTTGTCGTTCTGTGTAGTGTTGAACCACTTACCAATTACTGAAAGTTTTCCATCTAAATCATAAACAAAAACACGACGTTACTTCAATACAGTATCTACATGTACTTTGAGAGCTGCCTATATCTATACATACAAATTTCTTACCGAATATTCTTTTCCTACATTGATATATTATGGTCTAAATTGTTCAATGGATCAAAGCAGTCCTAGCTTTGTAAAAAGATTTTGCTCTATATACTTATAATTATTTAGTAAGGGATAAAGTTTATTGTGTCGCCGGCTAGAAAATGTAATATAACACGCAATCGGAAAAGCTCAACACATTTTATTCATTATAATCTCAGAGTATTAAAATACGGATTGAAAGTAGCTAGATACAGATTTACATCCAACAGAGATGAAATATAATTTAATGTCTGACACTTAAAATCAATTAAAGAAATGATACATATTGTAGACCAATTATTATCTCAACAACTCACTACACGTATTTGTTTACATGTTAAGTTTTATAGCGTTGGTTGGACCGAAATACCGTATCAGTTTGTGAATCCTTTCTATTTTGTTCGAGGCACCTTTATCTAAAGTTTGACTGAAAGGGTTGAGAAGCTCTAGTTAGGTTGGCCGCGTTATTTTATCATTGTTTGTAAATGACTATAAATGGTCATTTTTGTGTTGTAAAAATATCATATTTAAAGGTTAAGATGCTGTATAATGCAATTTGCATAATACTCTCTACGTTGTGTACGGTGGCATAGAGGGGTCATCAGTATATTTTATTTATCACGTGCGCACGCGATGGGGGACATCAGAAATATTTTATCTATCACGTGCGTACGCGATGGAGGACATCAAAAATATTTCATCTGTCACGTGCGCACGCGATGGGGACATCAGAAAATATTTAAATACCACGTGCGCACGCGATAACTACCACGTGCGCACGTACAATTTATAACGTGTGCACGTGATAGCTTTTTATTTCAAACAAGTCATGAATAAGCACTTCCCTGTCCATTTAAGAAATGGAAGGTTTTACGTGCGCACGTAGTAGTTATCATGTGCGCACGTAGTAGGTATCGTGTGTACACGTAGAAGTTGTCGCGTGCGCACGTAGTAGCTGTCGCGTGCGTACGTATTAGTAGTAGCGTGCACACGTAGTAGCTATGGCGTGCGCACGTAATACGTAGCTATCGCGTGCGTACGTGATTGATGAAATATTTCTGATGTCCCCATCGCCAGCGCACGTGATAGATAAAATATTTTTGATGTCCCCTCTATGCCACCGTAATTGTGCACACCTGAGCTTAAATATTACGTGACTCTTCAATAAATTTCACGTGACCGAAACTTGGGTACACAAATACATTTACCTTTGCAAGATACCAAATTACATATTCTATATTTTTCAGAAATCCCTGGACAGTGTTGTCCGAATACTGAAGGTGTTGGGTTATTACAAGACCTTGTTCTCGTTCGAAGGCCAAACCGACACTCACTCCAACATTCCCAACTTGACCATTTTCCATCTGTAATTATACATTAACTGACATATTTTGACTGAACATGTTGTCAGAGTTTATATTGAAATACATGTTTTTTTTCAAGTTACCATTGTTATTTTACAGTCTGTTAATTATTCAACGATATTATTTGATATCTGATATACATGTGCAGAATCAGATTTCATTCCCGCATATCAAGAACAGTAAAATATTGTAAAACCTAAGAATATAAATCCTCCGTAAAGTAGTGATTAGTGTAATGGATATGTAAGCATGTTTAGATGTCTCTTTTAAACCATTCACGCTCCTATTTTTGTATTTTCTGATCGCAGATCAGATAATACATAGCTAACATCCACGGTCTAACACAAAATTTCCTAACAGTCCTAATAACGCAAATTAGTTCTCACTCAAAACTGCTTAAAAACCAGCAATTTAAAAGAAAAAAAAATTTGTTACAAGTGTCCAACAAATTACTACACCTTCAAACCTTTATAGTAGCGTTGTCAATAAATGCACACTCACAAATTACGCGGATAAATATGATTTTAATCAATGAAAATGCTATTTTTAGCGATGTCGATTACCGAATACTACACAAATAAATCTGACTGCCGAGTAGTTGAATTTATAGTTACTACATGTTGGACTGTTTGGGCGAGAAGATTTTTGCTAAATTATTTACTTCAATTTTAAACAACAGGTTTACCCTAAACAAAATACCTCGAAATTACCCTAACCCGAAATGCAATGGAAATTCTAAATCTAGAATGACTTGATTTTATTCAGCTTTTGATTTTAAAACTTCTCCGTGTTGCAGGGGTAACGCGCTCGTTTGGTGTGTGAGAGGTCTGGAGTTCAAATCCCAGTCGAGTCAACATTTTTTTTAATTATTTTTTTTAGTGATGGAAATAGCCACGATATGCAAGGATAAAGTGTGGCTATCATAAAAAATGAACATAAATTATTTTTTTGATGCAACTCTAGTTATGCAAAATAACGTATGTATCAAACTCTGGTGTCCTGCAAGATGACTTATAGTACATAAAAATAAATTTATACAGGAAAACACATACAGACATACAGTACGATTTAGATTGCAGGGATCAGAAAATACCACAGAGCTTGCAGCCCTTTGATTAAGTCTATAAACCCGTATCAATTCTCATGATTATTTCTACTTTACTAGTGAATCAATCAACAATGTACATTAACAACAGTAAATGAGAAGAGTTTATTCAAATTCTTACCTGTGCTAGTTGCATAAGTTAAAATACCTATTGCAATAATCAATGTATTAATTATTGATATAGCCCCGATAAATCCCAATGACAGCAAACTAATCCTCACGTAAACTTTAGTCGAGTTTGTAGAAACAGCATCGGAAGCATTATCAGAAGCTATCACTTGATCCTCCATTTGAAGTATTAAAATTGAAGAACTTTTGTACACAGCTTCCCGTGTTAATTTTCTATTATTAGCCAAATATACTGCGTTACTATTATAATAGCGAGTCATAAAGCAAGTCAAGCGGTGTTTGTATAAATATAGTAGACAAGGTCGTAGCTAGCGTTACACACCTTGTGTTAGACTGGTCAAGCAAAACGGAAATTTAAATATGCCTAAAAAACGTGGAGAAACCTGATTGAAGGGCGGCGGTGAGGTTAAGGGGATGATTCAAAATTGCAGCGCTCCCGGAGATGCTCTGGCTTATAAGGCAATTATACAGGATATGTACAAAGTGAGTTTTACTCGACTAAAGCGGCGATCACTCGTTCAGTAGTATCATTATACAGGATATGTACAAAGTGAGTTTTACTCGACTAAAGTGGCGATCACTCGTTCAGTAGTATCATTATACAGAATATGTACAAAGTGAGTTCTACTCGACTTAAGCGGCGATCACTCGTTCAGTAGTATCATTATACAGGATATGTACAAAGTGAGTTCTACTCGACTAAAGTGGCGATCACTCGTTCAGTAGTATCATTATACAGGATATGTACAAAGTGAGTTCTACTCGATTAAAGCGGCGATCACTCGGTCATCATGTTAATTTGACAAGTTAACATGCTGTTTCAACAAGTCAGAATGATTTTTTGGCAAGACATGGTGTAAATTGCACATGTTAACATCCTTAAACGACAAAATAATATCATCTTTTCACAAGATAGCAAAAAAATTGACCAAACGGCGTTCCATATGTAAAGATATTGACCGCGTCTGTAGCGCCGATATATGTCCAAACGTCGAAAAATGTCCAAACGACGATAAATGTCCAAAAATTGACGATAAATGTCTCAATCGCCGATAAATGTACACGGCGTTTGTATAAATATAGTAGACAGGATTGTAGCTAGTGTTACACACTTCAGTTTGATTGATCAAGGAAAACGGAAATGTAAATATGCTAAAAAACGGGGAGGAAACTGATTAAAGGGCGGCGGTGACATTATGCTCATATTATCATACTCAAGTTGAGCTGAATTGACTTTATATTTAAAATGGTGTTTGACCAACAGTTGATATTTGAAAATGTTAAGGATAAAATTATAAATCTGCCTAAAATATAAAAAGACTGTCCCACTCTTTTTATAAACTAAGGTAAATTCTAATGGATAATTACAGAAATTTCGTTTGGATCTGTGAGCTTTTATTGTTTATGTGAACTTAGTTATAAAATTAAAAGGAATTATAACAAAATGAAAACTTGTTTTGATCTTCAGCCGTTCACTCACTATATACCTTTGGATGGGCATAATGTCACTTTTGAAGCGCTCCCACTGATGCTCTGGATTATAAGACAATTACAAAGCGAGTTTTACCCGATTAAAGCGGCGATCACTCGTTCAGCAGTATCAGGTGGCAATCACTCGTTCAGTAGTATCAGGCTAAAGACTACAGGTTGCCTGTTTGGCTTGGAGCTTTTATACATTCACACAAGAAAAAAGAGGTTTTCAAAACGCAAAAATCGCTCACAGGGCAAGTCCTAAGTTAATTCTAAATCCTAGGACTTATGACCAACTGAAGGAGAAAAAGTGTTTGTACTTAAGACCGTTTCAAGTAACTGTCCTACCTTTTGTCGTTAACTTAAGACTTATGACCAATTCTCTCCCCTGACAAAAATTTACGAATAATCCCGCAATATGTCAATGTTCGTCTGTAAACAAATCAGGCGCAATCTAATTTAATATCAGGTATGGCAATATTATTTATTTGTTGACGTCATGTTAGAATCGAAATAAATAATTATTGAATGACAAACCAGACATGTACACGCACATATTGTAAGTTACTTTTTTGTCATATGTTATTTAATTGCTTATGCTGTCTACAATTTGTAATTTTCAAACACGTAAATAAAATAGAGAAAAACAGAATCCCTAAAGAACGTCCAAAACAACAAAATTGAAAATGTTGCAGGCTCGGTTTGATTTAGCCTGTTCATGGACGGTACTGGAAAGTCCACGCCCCTAGCATCGGCTTAAGCAGAATTCAACTTTTAAACACTAAAATGATGATTTTTTGAATTTAGAAACATTCGCAGATGTGTTCATACGGCGCACTTATCATAGAACCTTCAATATGACACAGTAGTGCCATTCAATGAAAAGCGGTGTATTGTCCCCAAACAATTGTTTGACTGAAATAAATTTGAGAATTTGTGGAAAAAAATCTTTGTTTTTTAGCGAATTATATCGAAACTCATTTCTATGGCGGAACATTATATACATAAAATATATCCTTAATTGGACCAAACTGTCGCAATGAAATATACGAAATTTCAATAAAACATTACGATTTAAGCTAAAGCATGATTATAAGAGAATTAATCAGGATAAATCGAAAAAATAGTTTGGCTCTAACGCAATATCCATTTTCCAAAACTTCAACTTATACATGCACTGAACAACTGTAATTGTTGTTAAAAAACAAAAACTATAATATTTATTGTATAAAGTTACACCAGTTACTCCCCTTTTGTCACTACAAGCAATTTTCATTTAAAATGTTGTACTTTTTTGTTGTTGTCTATTGTTGGTATTAAAAATGAGGTTAATATTCTACAAATTATTGACAAAACCCGTAGAAATGATAACAACAAAAACAACAAAAAAACTTTAATTTGACAGAACAGCTTCACTGGAATGAATTTCTCAAATGAAGTTCTTACACAATTGGTAGTTTTCTAGAAACATAATATTGTTAAAATGGCACCATTGTTCTCGTAGACGATATTTGTAGAATACTTTGTCTGAAAAAAGTATTTTATAGTTATATTCTAACACTATCGGATTTTTTTCGAAATAAACAAAGAAGGCCCGAAGCGTGCATTATTCTACATTCTAACACGACCCGCATATTTCCCTATTGAATATAGAATAACCGAAAGTGTGTGTTATTTAAGAAATAACATCGGCCTGAGAGGTGTATATCGGCTATTTAACACCGGTTTGGAGTTTTGATGCGTAGGAATTGACCACGAATGCCGTAGGCCTGAGTGGTTAATTTTGACGCATCAAAACGACAAATCGGTGTTTAATAGCCGATATACACCTCTCAGGCCGATGTTATTTCGATTCTAACACGATAAAATAAGGAAAATCACTAATGTTATTTTTCAAGCGGAAAGAACTTCCGGTGCCGATTTTCGCATAACGCTGTTCGATCTTCGCACCCTACTGTGGCGAAGAAATAGAAATTATTAAACAAAAGAAATAATAAGAAAAAAACGTATGAGAGAAGTTAGCAGTTAACAGTGAGCTATGCAAAAAGGCATTACGATTTATATAGGGAAATCAATGATCTGCTGTTATGCTCAGCTGGGTAAGCAATCTAGCAGAGCATTCCAAAATAAAGTGTAGAAATGCTTTGCTGGTATGCTCAGCTGGGTAAGCAATCTAGCAGGCCATTACTAAATATAGTGTAAAAATGCTCTGCTGGTATGCTCAGCTGGCTAGGCAATCTAGCGGGGCGTTCCAAAATATAGCGTAAAAATGTTCTGCTTGTATGCTAAGCTGGCTAGGCAATCTAGCAGGGCATTCCTAAATATAGTGTAAAAAAAACTCTGCTGTTATACCCAGCTGGCTAAGCAATCTAGCGGGGCATTCTAAAATATAGTGTAAAAAGCTCTGCTGTTATGCTCAGCTGGCTAAGCAATCTAGCGGGGCATTCCAAAATATAGTGTAAAAATGCTCTGCTCGTATGCTCAGCTGGCTAGGTAATCTAGCAGGGCATTCCTAAAAATAGTGTAAAAATGCTTAGCTGTTATGCTCAGCTGGCTAAGCAATCTAGCGGGACATTCCAAAAAATAGTGTAAAAATGCTCTGCTGAATTGCTCAGCTGGCTAGGCAATCTAGAAGGGCATTCCTAAATATAGTGTTAAAAATGCTCAGCTGGCTAGGCAATCAAGCAGAGCATTCCTAAATATAGTGTAAAAATGCTCTGCTGGCAAGCTCAGATGGCTAAGCAATCTAGCAGAGCGTTCCAAAATATAGTGCGAAAAATGCTCTGCTGGTATGCTCAGCTAGCTAAGCAATCTAGCAGGGCATTCCTAAATATAGTGTTAAAAATGCTCAGCTGGCTAGGCAATCCAGCAAAGCATTCTGAAAATTAGTGTAAAATGTTCTGCCGGAATGCTGAGCAGTCTAGGCAAACTAGCAGGGCATTTTTAAATAAAGTATAAATTTCGTTGGTCGTCAACTGATTATTTGGCATTCGTAGACTTTCTGAAATATTTAGTGCCACTGCAAATAATGACATTTTTGACTTCTACGGGACCCTCTAGTGTCTATTTCTTTGGTCTCCGACTGATTCACGGCTGATCGCAGACATTCAGGAATTTTTGGTGTTAATGCAGATAATGACATTTGTGAATTTATAGGACCATCCAGAGTCCATTTCGTTGGTCTGCGAATGTTTCTGGAACACTCGCAGACTTTCAGAAATTTTCGGTGCCAATGGAGATAATGACATTTTTACTTCAAAAGGACCCTCCTGAGTCTATTTCGTTGGTCTGCGACTGATTCTGAGTCACTCGCAGACTTTCAAGAATTTTGGTGTCAATGCAGAAAATGATATTTCTGACTTATTCAGACCTTTCTGAGTCCATTTTTTTGGTCTGCGACTGATTCTGAGGCACTCACAGACTTTCAGGAATTTTTTATGTCAAGGCAGACAATGACATTTTTTACTTCTAGGGACCATCCAGAGTCCACTTGTTTGGTCTGCGACTTAATTTTGGACAGTCACAGACTTTCAGGAATTGTTGATGCCAATAGAGATAATTACAATTAATGTCATTTTTTACCATCCAGAGTCTTTTTCGTTGGTGTGCGACTGATTATAGGGCACTTGCAGACTTTCAGGAATTTTTGGTGCTAATGCAGAAAATGACATTTTAGGGTAAAAATGCTCTGCTTATGACTAAGGGGTCCTTAAAAGTAAAAAAGTCATGATCTGCAATGGCACTAAACATCCTGAAAGTCTGCAAGTCTCAAGGAATCAGTCGCAGACCCAAGAAATGTACTCTGGCGGTTCCCTAAAAGTCAGAAATGTCATTATCTCCATTGGCATAAAAATTCCTTAAAGTCTGCAAGTGTACCAAAATCAGTCGCAGACCAGCGAAATGAACTCTGGGGGGGTCGCAAGAAGTCAAAAATGTCATTATCTCCATTGGCACCAGAGATTCCTGAAAGTCTGCGAATGTCCCAGATTCAGTCGCAGACCATAAAAATGGACTCTGGCGGGTCCCTAGAAGTAAAAATTGCCATCATCTCTATTGGCACCAAACTTTCCTGAAAATGGATACCAATTTACCATAGCCAAAAGTTCAAGACAAGTATTTCCCCTAACAAATCAGACTAAATCGGTAATTACAATTTATTACGTCTATTTAATAATCTTTTGGAAATTAAATAAATCCAGCAAAAAACTTCATCATTATAAACTAGAAATCCCCCCCCGACTTGTTTCGCTTATAATTAAAAAAAAAATTTTCCTGTAAATTTTTGTTTATAAATGATCTTTTAATTTTCTACATATAATAATGATATAATAATGATATAAATCAGCTATTTTTCAAACAACAAATTGATTAGCATGTAAATTTTCAGGCAAAAACAAAAAATCTGAAAAAATCAGGTAAAGGCAACAAAGAAAATGCTGCCCAACCAATAACAGATGAAGAGATTGACAGGCTTTATGATACCGGCCAACTAGGTCTTTCTTCACCACAGTCTATCATCAACACTTTGTGATTAACATTTACCATACATTTCGGCATGAGAAGTGTAAAAGAACACTATCACTTATGGTAAATTTAAATGTCACCTCTTTTAATTAAAAGCCAGTTAATCAGTGGGATTATTTAACCTAAAAATTTAAAATGCATAAAAAACTTTTCTATTTCAAAATCACTTATCTCAAAATCTTCTAGTAGCGTTTTTTCTGGAACTTAGACGTTAAAGGATGTTCAGAATGCCATTCAAAATGAAATTTCATGTGGCCGAGCTTCACCGTTTCACAACCTGAAATTAGAATAAAATTATAATTTTAGCTGCATACTTTAAATAAAAAAAGGACCCTCCTGAGTCTATTTCGTTGGTCTGCGACTGATTCTGAGTCACTCGCAGACTTTCAAGAATTTTGGTGTCAATGCAGAAAATGATATTTCTGACTTATTCAGACCTTTCTGAGTCCATTTTTTTGGTCTGCGACTGATTCTGAGGCACTCACAGACTTTCAGGAATTTTTTATGTCAAGGCAGACAATGACATTTTTTACTTCTAGGGACCATCCAGAGTCCACTTGTTTGGTCTGCGACTTAATTTTGGACAGTCACAGACTTTCAGGAATTGTTGATGCCAATAGAGATAATTACAATTAATGTCATTTTTTACCATCCAGAGTCTTTTTCGTTGGTGTGCGACTGATTATAGGGCACTTGCAGACTTTCAGGAATTTTTGGTGCTAATGCAGAAAATGACATTTTAGGGTAAAAATGCTCTGCTTATGACTAAGGGGTCCTTAAAAGTAAAAAAGTCATGATCTGCAATGGCACTAAACATCCTGAAAGTCTGCGAGTCTCAAGGAATCAGTCGCAGACCCAAGAAATGTACTCTGGCGGTTCCCTAAAAGTCAGAAATGTCATTATCTCCATTGACATAAAAATTCCTTAAAGTCTGCAAGTGTACCAAAATCAGTCGCAGACCAGCGAAATGAACTCTGGGGGGGTCGCAAGAAGTCAAAAATGTCATTATCTCCATTGGCACCAGAGATTCCTGAAAGTCTGCGAATGTCCCAGATTCAGTCGCAGACCATAAAAATGGACTCTGGCGGGTCCCTAGAAGTAAAAATTGCCATCATCTCTATTGGCACCAAACTTTCCTGAAAGTCTGCGAGTGTCCGACAATACGCTGCAGGCCAATGAAATGGACTCTTAAAGGTCCCTAGAAGTCAAAAATATGAATATTTCCATTGGCACCAACCATTCCTGAAAGTCTGCGAGTGTCCAAGAATCAATCGCAGACGACCAAAATGGACTCTTGAGGGTCCCTAGAAGTCTAAATTGTCAATATCAGCATTGGCACCAAAATTCCTGAAAGTCTGCGAGTGTCCTTCAAAAAGTCGCAGGACAATGAAATAGTCTCTTAAAGGTCCTTAGAAGTAAAAAATATCATTATCTCTATTTGCACCGAAAATTCCTGAAAGTCTGCGAATGCCTCAGAATTGCCTAGAAGTCGAAAATGTCAATAAAACTTTGGCAACAATAAATCCTGGAACTCAGAATCAGTCTGCCAACTGAGCATTGTACCAGAGCATTTTTTAACTATATTTCGGAATGCCTTGCTAGATTGCCCAGCCAGCTAAGCATTCCACCAGAGCATTTTAAAACCATATTTAGTAATGCCCTGCTATAGTGCCTAGCCAGCTGAGCATTCCTGCAGAGCATTTTAACACTTTATTTAGTAATGCCCTGCTAGATTGCATTGCCAACTTAGCATTCCAGAAAAGCATTTGTTCAATATATTTAGTAATGTCCTGCTAGATTGCCTACCCAGCTTAGCATTCCAGCAGAGCATTTTTACACTGTATTTAGTTATGTCCTGCTAGATTGCCTACCCAGCTTAGCATTCCAGCAGAGCATTTTTACACTATATTTAGTAATGCTCTGCTAGATTGCCTAGCCAGCTTAGCATTCCAGCAGAGCATTTTTTTTACTATATTTAGCAATGCCCTGCTAGATTTCCTAGCCAGCTTAGCATTCCAGCAGAGCATTTTTACACTTTATTAAGTAATGCACCGCTAGATTGCCTAGCCAGCTTAGCATTCCAGAATAGCATTTGTACACTATACACTACGCTAGATTGCCTAGCCAGCTGAGCTAGCCAGCTGAGCATTCCAGCAGGGCATTTTAACACTATATTTACTAATGCACTGCTAGATTGTCTAGCCAGCTGAGCGTTCCAGCAGAGCATTTTTTCACTAAAGCTAGGAATGCTCTGCTAGATTGCCAAG